TTTGGTTGAAAATCGGGGATATGCCGGAAGTTTTATTGAATATTATAGTATATTAATTTTATGTTGGTTAAGTAAATAGATTTACTTCAAAACTTAGAAAATAACTTTATTCTTTCTTTCTCGATTTTATAACAGAATTCAAAAGCTCTAATAGAATGGTTTACAATTACAATTTATTATATACAAATTAAAATGAATGTGAATGGAATTATGAATTCCAATTCTGTTGGAATGGAATCATGAATTCCAATTCTGTTGGAATCTAAACTACAATTTGGTTTTGTTTTGACAGAAGTTGATGCTTGAAGAACGGACCGCAAATTTGAAAGTGATTCTAAGCATTCTCAGAGAATATTATTCTTACATGATTTGATTCATGGCAGTTATTTTCGTTAAATGTCTAATTTCATGGATGATCAAGGAAAAAGCTATTCTTCTGATAGAATAACCTACAATAGAATGATAGGAGTATATGTAATAATATATTCTGCTAGAATATTCAGGTCGAATAATATACATATTGTTATTTGTTATTAGTGAGTATTTCATTGTCATAGACTATTATATAAAGTTTTTACTTTTTTAAGAATGTAATGAAAATTTTGAAGTTGTATTCTCATAGAATATCATTCTAATAGAAATATGTATCCTGAAATTCGTAAAGAATATGATTCTAACAGAATAAAATCGGGTTTATTTATAAAAATTACGTTATAATTAAAATTAAAGTAATTAAAAAAATTAGAATTTTAAAATCAATAGAGTTAATTATCCCAAAAAATATGGAATTTTCCTTTTTTAAATTTATCTCAATTGTCTAAAATACCCTTAAAATGAAATTAGATGGTATTTTTCAATTATCTTTAATTTAATAATACATATTAATCACTTTCTTAAATTAAGTAAAATGATTGGCCCACATTTATGCATTCAATAACACAATAATTAGTTTAAATAGAATAACCTAAGCCTATATATATATATATATATATATATATATATATATATATATATATATATATATAATAGTAATAGTAAATTGTTAAAAGAAAAAACAGAAGAAAGAAAGGGAAATTTAGTATTTTTATATGGAGCAAGGATCTTTAGTACAATATTCACAAACCACATGGATGTAACCTATCAAATTTTAAGCTTAGGGACCAAAAATGAGAATTCGACCAAACCATAGGGACTATTTCTGTAATTTACTCTTAAACGAAGGAGTAAATTACACATTTGGTCCCTATAACTTTCCTAAATTCAAAACTTTTTTCCTAAAATGTGACTTTGACTTGGTTGGTCTCTATGGTTTTCATTTGTTGCACTTGTGGTCCCCGCTCGTCCCGTGTGTGTGTGTGTGTGAGAGAGAGAGAGAGAGAGAGAGAGTCAAATAAAGACAATGCTTATTGCGTACAAACAAAATGACTAAACTTTGGAATGAATTCGAGGCAAAGTGTAATCTCCCTCACAAAATTCATCATTTACCACACCATATTATGTGGTGTTGGTTGGATGTTTCCTTCCAAGAATAATGTCCCAATTGGAAATTCTACATTTATAACCGGAAGCAAAGCTAAGTGCATGCAAACTGTTTTTATTATTAGTTTTGTAGAAATTGTATGCAATCAGTGTCGCCCTTAAAAGCAGGCTCGATCAAATCGGGGGCAAGTTGGGCGATGCCCCCGGGCCTCCCCATGGCTTGGAGCTCCACATATATCATTGTCGTATAATCTTATGCAATTACTAAAATTTGAAATTTAAAGGGCCTTATTTTTTGCTTTTGCTCAGGGCTTCAAATTAGCTTGGATCGGCCCTCGCCAAGAGATAATATAGAGAAATGATAAGTTAGTCTTTTTATATAGAGTAAGGACCTGTAATGCAATATTCATAAACCATATGAATGCAACCTATCAATTTTTTTGAACTTAGGAATCAAACTACGAATTTGAAATTTTTCTTTCACAAATTTAGTGCTAAAGCACATTATTATTTCTTACGATTGACATTTTAAAGAAACAATGTTGAACAAAAAGGTTATTAAGGGTTAAATGCTACATATAACGAAATACTTTCATTGTTTGTGTATTATAGCAATAAATAGCAATTTACATTCATATATGTATGTTATAGCATACTTATTTAATTGCTTTTTATTATAGTGTTGTACTTTTGCTTTATATTCTGGTTTGGAAAATTTATCCGGTTTTAGCACGTTGGTTTCGGTTTTAAATCTAATTGTAAGTTTAAATTAAGGGTAAATTACACGAATAGTCCCTGTGGTTTGGAGTAATTTGAGTGTTTAGTCCCTAACTTATTTTTTTAACTCGGATCATCCTTATAGTTTCATTTTGTTTCGAGTTTAGTCCCTCACGGACATGAAATGACTGTTATACCCTTATCTATATATATATTTTTAGTTTTTTTCTTTATTAATGATTTTATTCGTTTATTAATATTAATTTAATGGGTCCCACTCTAGTTTCAGAGGTGATCTCTCTCACTAACAAACACACTCCCACTCTCATCTCTGAAAATCAAAAGAAATGCTCTCTCTCACACACCGGTGAATACCAGTCATAACACCGCCACCTCCAGGAGCCAACATCAATGCCCTACCCCACAACCATTATTTTACCCCACAACCATTATTTTCTCCCGAGTCTGTAAAGAAACGAACCTCAAAAATCTATCAAAACTGCAAAAAATTACAACAATTGAACTTGAGATGATTTCAACCCTAAAGCCTCAAAAAATTTCGATTGAGAGAGGAATTGATTTTCAAAAATCTTTGGCAACCCTATGAGAATTCGAAATCAATTACTTAGTTCAAATCCCGAGTTGATTTCCACATGTGATAATTCCAGGAAATCATAGAGGAAAGGTGTTACCATTAAGTCTTTAACGGGATTGGAGAACCTCCACAACTTGACTGATTAATCGAGCCATCTTTAATCAATAGATCTACATCAAAAATCGAAGAGGGGACCAGGGCTTTTTTTGACGGATATGCAACCACCGTACCCAAAGTCGGGGGTTTCTGATGATGATGAAATTCGTTGGATTTTTGGTGTTCCTAATAAAAAACCCATCCACATCCTTCTCTACACTCCAAAGAAACATCAATCATTTTCTATCTATCTCTTGCATCGCTGAAGAATAATGGCCTGAGAGCCACCGCTACTCTGCCACCCCCACATAACCCACCGTATATGAAACCTCAATATGCCCCCTCCTCCGTCTGAATCGACCCCAACATATCCGATCTGAAGCCATCGTCTTGTCGAAAACCTATAAATGTGAAGGGGGTGGTGGTGGTTTGCCGAAGGTTAAGTACAAGAAGAAGAGAATGAATGATCAGATACCTACCGCTAGAGCTCAAAAAAACTGGTTGCGGCTCCACACAAACAATAATCGGAAAAAGGCAAAACTCGTTTCCACCATGGATGAAAAGGTAACCACTGACGCCTTGTTCCCGAGTTTTTTTGTAAATTCATTAAAGGAAAGGGAAAAAAAAATTTGACAGAAAGAAAGGGAGGTGAAGGAAAATATTCATTATTCCGTGTTCCCGAGTTCAAAGGAAATGAAATGAAATTTTAAGTTTTTGTGTTCCCGAGTTAGGAGGAAAAAAAAAATAAAACTTAAAATTTTCCTTCCACTCACTTTCTTCCCAAATCCGCCCAATTTGGGAGGAAAATTTGGAAGGAAAATTTGGAAGGAAAATATGGCTCCAAAATCCTTCCCCTCCCCTTACTTTCTTCCATTAATGAAACTAGGGAACACGATTTTCCTTCGACACCCCTCACTTTCTCTCCTTATCCTCTCATTTCTCTCCTTAAGTAGAACTCGGGAACAAGGCGTAATGGTGGTGAAATTTGACTATGAGGAAGTCGAAATGGTGGTGCGTTTGGGACTATTATGCACAAAGTCTTGGGTGAGGGTGGTGTTGGACCTATTTATTTTAATTATTAATAAAAGAAGAAAAATAAATCATTAAAAATAATAATAATAAATCAGAAAGGGCAAAAGAGTCATTTCAGGTCTGTTAGGGACTACATGCGAAACAAAATCAAACAACATAGATGATCCGTGTTACAAGAATAAGTTAGGGACCAAGTATGCAATTTACCCTAAACCATAGGGACTATTCGTGTAATTTACTCTTAAATTAATGAATGATGCATAATCTCTTTGGCTGTAGAAATTAGATAATAGTGAAATTTTATCGGTACAAGTATGCAATTTACCCTAAACCATAGGGACTATCAGATGCTCTATACTTGATGGTTTTGATAGAACATGAAAAACCATCAAGCGCCACATGTGTCTACCGTTTAAGGTTTACCGTCAAATATAATTGATAAAAAATGGTAATGTACTTCCATTTGGTTGTGTTTTATAGCATTCTACTTTCATATATTTTCTTTCTTTTATAGCATGTAATAGAATCCTGATTCATTTTTCCATTTAATCGCACGGGAGTGCACCCCAACTTAGGTATATTTTTCAAAAATAAAATGTCTTAATGAGAAAAAAAAAGGATGAAAGTATAATACAATGAAATAAAATATTGATAGTTGTTTGCTAATAGATAAATATACATTGCTTGTTCATGAAAGAATTTTTAAATCACATATCAAACAAGACAGAAAATTGGATTTAAGCGCCAAATAACGTACCTCCTTTTACATTTAACTTCAGATTCTCTCATAAGCTATAACAGGTACACGGATGCAAAGAAGAAATTCTAGTGATGAGCAGTGGTGGCATTCAACAGTGGTATATTAATAATCTCTTTTAGATTTTCAAGAGGTAATACAAGAAATGACAATGCTACCACATCCACAAAAAAGGCTCCATCATCTCAATAATAAACCGATTAAAAGATAAAGCCACAAATTGATAATAAAACAGATCTGTTAGCCACATCTCAAAGCAAAGGACACCAAATCACATAAAATAAAAACAAATAGAAAATATACAAAAGTAAGAGTGATTAAAAGTCATGCATCGTGTAAGAGATTAACATTTAAGCATTCATGAGGAAAATACCATTGAACTGCAATAAAGAATCTTCCCTTTCCACCTCCTTCATAAACAACATATCTGCCAGGCTCGGATCCCCATGACTCTGGTTTAGAAGCAGCACTATGACTCAAATCGCTAAGAAAGAAAGCAAAATCATGTTTGTCTCCAGTATATTGAAAAGGCACCCATTCCATTTCACCAAAATCTAATTTATAAACCTTCAAGTTTTCCATCACGTAAATGTTTTCACCCCAACTTACCAGTTCTGGGAAAGATATATCCTCATCAAGAAGATTCTTTGTTTCCAGTAAAGTCAGTTTGGGCTCAGGCTCAAGTGTGAGTTCGCAAAAATGACCTCTAATACTTACACTATATATCCTCCCCTTGAAAACATGTAAATCCTTAAAGGTAAAGTCGAAAGTGGAGGAAACACGATTCCATGCTCCCTCATTCTCTATAGAAAACCATATTTGATTACTGGCTAAGATACAAACACCAATTTAGATATTGAAGGTGAAAAGAAAAGGACAGAAGTGATGTTTGATACATAATCAGACACACAAGGAGCAGGAGGGAAATGAAGTTCATGCCTAGTGATAGGATTCACAAGCCAGAACTCGTATGTTTTCTTCCTTAACAAGATCAAGTAACCACAAGTTAATCCAACGTCATCCCAGCCAGCAGAATGGGGAATTATGGTTTTGAAATCTTTTCCTTCAGAATCCACTAGCCAGTATAGCATATCATTATTACCACTGAGAGGGATCAACAGTAGTATTGGTGGTTTGGATGCCATAAATGTTTTCCAGTTACTGAGTGCTACTGATCTCCATGACTTGCAAGCCCCACTGAATGCAAGAAAATCGATGACTCCAAGTTGCATCATGACTATCGAAAGCAGATCATGGTTGAGGTACAACCAAGGTCCCACATCATCAGTCTTGATAGTCTTGCTGTTAGACGCATCATCATCATTCTGGTTTCTAGTCACTCTCCTTGTCATATCCATTCCTACATTAGCAAAAAGACAAAATAAACATTCCTGGTAAATGAAAAATTCCACATAATCATACAAGACTTGTAAACAGAGAAAGAGAAAACAAGACAAGGAATGATTAATGAACATGATCTGCTAGTGAAAACAAACACAAATACCTACAGCATACAATCTAATCAGCAGTCCTACAAGAGATGAATGCTCTTAACAAAGAAAGGGTAGATCAGCCTCATTGTAAAATGTTTCAGGTGAACTTATAAAAAGGTTATGTCGATGCCTTCTTGTAATCAGAACCTTACATGTAGCTAAAACATCAAATTCAAACAAATCCAAACACTTAAAAGAACGATATATCAATTATCCAAACACTTAAAAAAACGATATATCAATTATCCAACTATCATAATTCATAAGACATCATTATCAACAAATCTTAATAACCAAATAATCACATAATCAAAACAGTTCTGGTAATCAAATCACCTGAACGAACCTAAACGAGGATTACAGAACTACGATCAAATGAACTCCAGTTCCTAAATAATCAAAAGATCTAGGGTTAGTTAGATGCGTGATGAAGGGAAATAGCCACCGAAACGGGCTTTGGGGTTTGTGTGACGATAGACAGTTTTGGCCGAGAAAATTGTTTACAATATTTGGGAATTACTCGTTTTAATTTGAAATATCTGGGTAGATGCGTAGCAAAGGGGAATAGCGAATGAACCCGCACGAATGTTTTGGGTTTGTGTCCTTTGACTCGAATTTTGTCTTGGTTATATTAAAGAGTAAATTACAGAAATGGTCCTTATAGTTTGGTCGAATTTTCATTTTTAGTCCCTAAATTTAAAATTTGATAGGTTACATCTTTATGGTTTGTGAAAATTGCACTGTAGGTCCTTAGTCCATATAAAAAGACCAAATTACTCTCTCTCTCTCTCTCTCTCACAAAGAAGCAAGACAACATGAAGGAGCAAGTACATGGTACACCTTAGAGAAATGTCTCGTGCCCCTTTCTTCTTTGTTGTGGCGATTAGATATCATGATCAAGAAGTAACACGAATCATGAATCACCTCTTATATCTTTAATGATTTCTCCTTCAATCTTTCTTTCTTTCTTTTTTTGAAAAAGCTTCATCTTCTTCGTTCCTTTCTGTCACACATTCACAGTTCACACACACACAAGCACATAATCTCACCATCAAACTGATTTGATTAATCATCTATTTTTTGAAAATTTGAACTCCAATTAGATGGATTTAATCCAAAACTAAGGAGTCATGTTAAGGTTTGGATGCATAATGAATTTAATCTAAAGTTAAGAATGGTGCCCTCGATGGTGTTAACGTCATTTCTTCTGTTGTTTCAAAGATGGATTCTAAAGTTCTTAATGTGTTTTACTCATTTGAATAATTGATTCATGTCGTACACCACATGTTTGATTTAAGTCCTTAAATAAATCAATTTTTTTAAAACAAGAAGGGTTGATGAGCTTATTTTCCTAGATCCGACTAGTTAAAGATGGTGTTATTTTGCAGGATTTGATAGATATAGAAATCTCAAACTGAATCCTCTGGAAGGTTTGGCTTCTAATTTGTATCAATGACAACTACAGTGAGGGTAATAGAGTACTCCATATGATCATGTTGTCCTTATCTTTTTGTTGATATGTGTATATGTAGCAGTGATAGCAATGTTTGAGAATAATGTTGAGCTCTATACATTTATACAAGATTTAAGATCACATCTTGAGTAGGTTGTTATATCTTCAAGGAAAACCTATAGACGAACAATTTATTTCTTAGGACATTGCTTCTGGCAGGTCTTAATATGTATATTTTGTGTTTGTAATCTACAATTCAAGTACGTTATCTTGTTTTGTATCAAATTTCATTAATTTAATTCAATAATAATAGTTTCATTTGTTTATTTTGTTTTTGATTATTTACTTCTCTTAACAATCCACAAATTATTAATTAGGATAATCTCATAGTAAGACACTTAAAATCTTAAGCACAGGAACAATAAGCAAAATATATTGTTCGAAATTTTAGGAGTTCCAAAAGGTGGCGTATTGCGAGTAGTTATACTGACAATATACAAAAATTGGATAAGGATGACAAAAACAAAATTTTCGAAAGTTAGAAGCCGTTACATGTAGTTGCCCGATCGTTATATTTGAATTTGAATCGACCAAAGTTAGGTCCAAGCCATTTTTTTTTCAAAATGACTAAAGTCATCCTCATGTTGAAGTTACAACCTAACTAAACTGACTAGTGAACTTGAGCTCACCTTTGACCAACAAGTGAGTTGGAACTCACAGGTCATGGTAAGCGACATCCATCTTTCCTATTTTGATATGCTAGAGGGTGGTTTTCCACTATAATTCTATATGAAATTTAGTTTAGGCTTTATGATAAAAACTGAATAATCTCTTTTATTAAAGCGGAATACAAAAATACAAATGAAAGCTTACTACTTACTACAATGATACTCACACTCAGCCTATCGAACCAGAATAACAATCAGCACAGTTCATATGTACGAAAAACTATGACAAAAACCCTAAGAACAAGCCCTAACCTCCATAAAGAATACAGAGACACTGAGAGAGTTTGTAAGGGTGAACACGAGTGAAAAATGAGAGACTGAATGATTCTACTCCTGTGTTCAACATTATATAGACCGGGTCAATATTCGGGTCAAGTCCGGATATTACCCATGCACAACCGAACCAGCCAACCTCTGCATGTTTTCTATCTTCAGAATAAATGAGCTGCACTCCCTGTACTTCTGTTATCTACACTTTCAGCAATTCTTACTTTGCTGCAAATTACATTTTCTACCCTTTTTAACATTATTTTGCATTAAACATATTAAGTTACATCTGCTCTACGTTGATCTTGTATGAGCAGATGTTATTAGATCACCATATAAACCCATTTTGGCACTCATATAAATCATGGAAAGACCAAAAATGATCCTGTGATCGGGCGACACTAAAATCACAAACAGGGCACGAAAAGAAATCAGAGAATCAAGTCTTGACATAGAGCAATCACCAGTGTCACATCAACCTAAATTCATGCAAATAAACCCTTCTGCAAAACAGAGTTGTAGTGGAGATCCATGGTAGCATTCACCATGGGATTTTCAGCAAGTATCAGAGAAAATGACTACATCCCATCCATAAAAAGGCACCATCATCTCAATCATAAAAAAAACTAAGAGATAAAACCAAAAATTGAATATGAATTTAAACCATATGCATCAGCCACACATTTCAAAGCAAAGGATGACACCAAATCACATAAAAGGGAGATAGATATAAACAATAGTTGTATGCCTGATAAGAGTGGTAAAAAGTCATGATGACTCATCTAAGAGATTAACATTCAAACATTCATCTGGGAAATACCACTCATCGATTGCAGGAAAAACTCTACCATGTCCACCTCCATTATCAACATCATATCTCTTGTATTGTGACCAAGCCTCAGCCCAAAACTCTGGTTTAACAGCAGCACCATGACCCACGCCGCTGAAAAAGAAACCGAGTTCCTCTCCTGTATCTTCAAAATGCATCCATTCCATTTCACTAAAGTCTAGTTTATAAACATTGAAAAAACATCTGTACATATAGCTTTCCATCACATAAAGGTTTTCACTGCAACTTACAAGCTGCGGGCAATATATGATGTCCGGAATATCCATAAGAATCTTGGTTTCGAGCAACGTCACTTTGGGCTCAGGATTCAGTGTGATTTTCACATAAATTAAAATTATTCGTGTCTACGGAATATATCTTCCCCTTAAAAACATGTAAATCCCTACAAAATTTGAGGTCGAAAGTGGAGACATACTTCCATGTTCCTTCATCCGCTATAGAAAACCATATTTGATTCTGGGCTAACACAACAAACACCAGTTTAGAGACAGAAGGTGAAAAGACAAGGACACAACTGATATCTGATACATAATCGGGCATCCAAGGGGCAGGAGGGAAATTAAGTTCATGTCTAGTGATAGGATTCACAAGCCAGAAGTCCTTATTGGTTTTCATCCTAAACAAGATCAAGTAACCACAAGTTAATCCAATATAGTACATTCCAGCAGAATGCGTTAGTGTGGTTTTGTACACTCTTCCTTCATAGTCCTCTAGGCGGCATTTCCTATCCTTATTATTACAACGGGGAGAGATATCCATCAACATTGGTGGTTTGGATGCCATAAATGTTTTCCTGTTAGTGAGTGCTACTGATCTCCATGACTTGCAAACGCCACTAAAAGCAACAAAATCGATGACTCCCAGTTGCATCATAACTAATAAAAGCACATCATGGTTGAGGGATGACCTTGGTCCAACATCATCAGTCTTGATGGTCTTACAGCTAGATGCATCATCTTGCTTCTGGTTTCTAGTCACTCTCCTTGTCGTAGTCATTCCTAAACTTGCAAAAGATATAATAAACATTCATGATAAATTGCAAATTGCACTTGTAAACAGAAAAGGAGAAAAAAAAAAAGCACAAGAAGGAACAGGATCCGCATGTGAAAACAAACAAAAAGCATATACAATCTAACTAGCAGTTCTACAAAGATGAATGCCCTTAACAAAGAAAGGGTAGATCAGCCACGTTGTAAAATGTTCCTTTATGAACTAAAAAAGAAGTGTATGGCTACAGCGATATCTCTCATTACCCTAATAGCAAAAAAATCAAATTCAAACAAACCCTAGATTATCCAAACACTTGAAAGAAGCGCTATATCAATTATCCAACTATCATAAGACATCATATATAATCAACAAAACTTAAAAGACCAAACAATCACAACATCAAAATACTTCGAGTAACAGTTACAATAGCACAAGGAACGGAACTCAAATTAGTAAGCAAGTCAAAAATTAAATTATGAAACACGTAAAGATAATCAAATCGACTAAACGAACCTAAGAGAAGGTTTCCCGATCAAATGAAATCCGATTTCTTTAGCGAAAGAACCGAACGATGTTTTGGGGTTAGCGCCTGGGTCTTTTTATCTTCGACCGTTGTCCGAAAACATGGTTTCCAAGTTGAATTCCTTGATTTTTTATAGATTAATTGTTTTTTTGGATTTAATCTTAATTTTATTTTATTTTTATAAAGACTTTATATTATTTATATTTACAGGGATGATCCCACAAAAACCTTTAAGTTTATGAGAAAAATTCGGTTTTACCTTTTTGTGTTCTTTTTTATTAAAATTCGATGTTTACAATTTCTTTTTTTCAATTTTATCTTTTTTGCATGTTTGTTTGGTTAAACCGAATATTTATGCTAAATTTAAAGGCTTTAATAAACCATAAAAAAATGATAAAATCGAATATTGCCATCAAACTTAAAGGTTTTAATGACATTATCCATTATTTATGACATTTTTTATAGTTTGTTTTTTCGGGAAAAAAAAAACTTATAAAATGTCAGGGCTTTACGGAAAACTAAAAAAAATCGAGAGTTTTCCGAAATCAATAAAAATGTTGGAAGTTTTTTTGAAAAAAAAAATCATGTTAAGAGTTATTTTCAAAAAAAATGAAAAATGCAAGAATTTTTCTCGAAGGAAAAAAATAAAAATGAGATTTAATACGGAAAAAAATCCATATATAAAGTCTTTTATGAAATTAACTATTTTTTAATATTAAATGAGTATTTTGGATTACTTATTAATATCTCATTACTTTTATGTGCTCGCTTGGTAACAAGCTAATTTTAGTATTTGGAATGATAAATATTACAAATAGTTATTAGTTTAAATAAAAGGTTTTAATAAATTGAATTTTTTTTATTTATTTGAAATTAGTTGTGAAACTCATGTATTATATGAGTTAATTTAAAAATAAAAGTTAAATATAAAGGTCTAAATATTTAAAAGCTTTGAATTTATAAGAAAATAAAAAAAATAATGAATTATTATAATGAAAATGTTTTTTTATCTTTTAAATTTAAATAAATAAACAAAAGAAACTAATAAGCTTTAATTTTGAGAATTTTGAAATTAAAATATAATTTCATTAATGAAATTGATATCTATTTATTACTATATTTATTGCAATTATTACATTAAAATATTATGTAGAATTTAACAAAATAAAAAAACTCATAAAATGACATATGAAAAAAAATTAATTCAAAATAACCAAAAAATGACATTTGACAAATTGAATGAAAGTGTGACAATTATCAAAAAAAAAAAAAATTCATTTATTAGAATAGATTTAAAACTTCCTAATAGAACATCTAATTAGCGTTAATGTTATCATAGGCTAACAAACATTTAAAATGTTTTAAAAACACCACTAACCTAAAAGAGTTCTTTACCAACTCAAATAAACATTTTTGGATAAGTTGTTTTATTTAACTATTAATCTAATAAGCTTTAGTACCGTTAATAAAGTAATGTGAATGTTTTGATAAATTTTGTTATTTAATGATGATCCTAATAAATGTTTTTTTTCTTTTAAAAATAACATATAATGTTTTAAACTCTCGGCTAGTAAAGAAATTAGAAAAACTAGAAAGTCTATAGATTGACGCCACAAATTCCATCCCCAAAAACTAGGGGTGAGTGCGATGCGGTTCGGTGCAGTTATTGGTCAATACCTCACCACTAACCGCAAATGCGGTTAATCCATTTTCAAAATCACTTGGTGTGTTTATTTCGTGGTGCGGTTAGGCGGTTATTTTGCGGTGTGGTTAGACCGTTATTTTTACGGTGCACTTTTTTTTTTTTTTTTTTTGTTTCGGTTATTAACCGCATGGATTTGGTGTGGTTATTTTATGTGGTTTTTAACTGCAGTTTAGAGTTCCAACGGTTTTAAGAGTTCAAACATATTACTTGTAATAATAATAATAAAAACATAAGGTATAAGACAATTAACTTAAATAACAAGCAACTAATATCTTAAAAATGTCAAGTCACTAGTAATTAACAATAAATATCTTAAAGTTGTCAAATTTCACTATTTTCCAAAGTTAAACATAACAAAGAATTAACACTTTTATCTTCTAGAATTTTATCTTTCTTTTATCCATGAAACTTGTCTTATTTTTAATAATTAGTATATTAATAATTAATAAAAAAAATGTATATAATATATGCGGTGTGGTGCGGTCTTTTTGCGGTTTTTGAAAACTAATAACCGCACCGCACCGCAAATTTGTAGTTTTTGAAAAACAGAAAACCTCACCATCGGTTTTTACTACGGTTGCGGTTTATGTGGTTTTTACGGTTAATTTTAGTTGCGGTGTGGTTTTTGCCCAACCCTACTAAAAACCATATTTTGATTGTGTTTCAACTATATCAAATCTCAAACACACCCTTATCTTGTCGTATTGAAACATAGTATTTTCTATTTTTAACAAAATACAAGTGGTTGTAAATTTATCTACCGATTATAATTGTTGTAAATGTATTTTCTAATAGTAGTAAAAACATAGTATTAAAAATGATAAAATCAGGCATAAAATAACAAATTAACAGATCTTTTGCTGATAAAATAAGATCCAATTACTTTTTTAGGTAATCACCAGCAAAATCACTCACACTCAAACAAGAACATAATTTCTAACAAACAAAATGTACAAATGATTTACAGAGCAAGAATAACAATCAAGAAAAGAGAAACCCTAATTTGGACGTAAACCCTAGACGAGAGAACAACGAGAGACTGGAGGTGAGAAAATGATATGTTAACCAATCTCTACAACTGGAATTGAGCCTTATATACATTGGGTACGGAATATGGATCGAAGTCGGGTTTAACCCGACCTAAACCCTATTTACAAGATCCGGGCGTCTTCTAACAATTGAGAAAACGAGTCGTGGTCCCTACAAAATACAAACCATACCAAAACACACCCTGCACCACAAATTTCTCATAATCCCCTCATAACTCACTTTTTCACATTTTACAGAATACACCCAAACAAAAACATATTCTCAATTTTAATCTTCAAATAAATAATTTTTTTTAACATCCCCTCTCAAGATGAACATTAAGAGGAAGAAAACACTCATTCAACTTTAAAAGGATCATATAACCCCAGTTTAGAGCATAAAAAATCATGTTGTTTTAAAGACAATGATTTAGTAAAAATACCAGCTCTTTGTTTATCTGAAGCTATTTTAATGATTTTCAAAATTCCCTTCGAAACCCTATCTCTCACAAAATGAACATCCACCTCAAAATGTTTTGTTTTTTCGTGAAAGACATGATTAAGAGCAAGTTTTATAGCAGAGTCATTGTCACAAAAAAACTTTAAGAGGAAACAATTTTTTTACACCCAAATCAAAATAAACCACATAATTTCACATGTAACAATTGCCAAAGCCTTATATTGGATTTTTGTAGAAGATCTAGATACAATGTCTTGTTTCTTGCTTTTCCAAGAAATTAATGAATTCCCAAAATAAACACAATAACCAGTAACAGATCTTGTTATAGTCAAGTAAAATAACTTGCCTATAAGCTCTTGGTACTCAGTAATATTACTTAACAAAATATCTTTTTCATCAATTCCTTTTTCAAAAATAAAATTCATATCCAGCGGAGTTTTTACTGGCTTACAATAACCTAATTTTCCAAATTCATGAATTAATTCCAAACAATATTTACGTTGAGTCAAACAAATTCCATCATGTTTATCTATAACTTCAATTCCTAAAAAGAATTTCAATTTTCCCAAATCCTTGATCAGATATTTAGATTTTAAAACATATTTTACCTTATTTATTTCACTTTCACAACTTCCGGTTATAACTATATCATCAACATCAACAAGCAAAAAAATAAAAAACAATAGTGCCATTTTTATTTCTAACTAATAACGAATAATCATTCATACTTTGCACAAAACCAAATTCAAATTTAAAAAAAAACATACTTTTTCGTTCCATTTCCTAGGAGCCTGTTTCAAACCATATAAAGACTTCAATAATTTACACACATGAGTATCACCGGGAGTGTGATACCCTTGTTGAAGGGTCATGTAAACATCTTCATCAAGATTCCTATAGAGGAATGCATTATTAACATCTAATTGATATAATTTCTAAGAGTTATTGACAGCTAAAGAAATAACAACCCTAACAGTCACCATTTTTGCTACAGGATGAAAAGTCTCCTCATAGTCAATGCCCTCTTTTTGACTATAACCTTTAGCCATAAGTCTGGGTTTGTACCTTTCTACCTCACCGTTAGACTTATACTTAATCTTATATAGCCATTTACAAATAATGAGTTTTCTATTGGGGGTAAGATAAATCCATTTATGAAAGTAAATTCTAAATTTCCAAGTGTAATTGTTTTTAGAAGAGCATTAAACCATTATGCACTAACAAATGAATTTGAGTATGTCATTGAGAAAAGTGATTTGACAAGACTTACATGTTGTGGAGATAAAAAGT